GGACTGCAAATGAATCGAGTCTGGACCACACAATCCAGTGATTGACGCGAGGCGCATCGATCCACGTAATTGGGATACGATCACATGCATCAACCAATTAAGCAAGTCTGAGCACCTGATCCCGTTAGTCGCTTCTTACGATGAGCATAGTCGCCTTTTACGGCAAGCATGGGTTGCTTGAGACCTATTATACCCCGGATCCGCATGGATCGCTGGAATATTTCACGGGTCGTTTCACACATTTACCTACTTTGGGTACGGGACCCGGATTTTCGTTTCGTCACATGAGCGAACGTATTAATAACATGGTTTTCCATACAACACCAGTGATGTAAACAACAGAAAACAGTTTCGCACAGGCTTCTTCAACACAATTATGCCACGTTAATATACCATTTCTAAACTCCGGCCGTACGAACAAGTCGTATATCATTTATCACTTTCCTTGGGGTACATATAAAGTAATATATTGAAAATCCTAGTTTCGGATAAAGTTTATTTCGCATTTTGGATCATTAGTGATATCATAACAAATTCGGAACTACGATGTCATTTGAACTGGTAGTGGTTGTAACTCTCTTGTATATCCATAAGATGAAAATACCAACAGTTTTCCCAAAGTGTACACAGGCCCGAGGGAGTAGTACCACACACACGCGCGCGCACACACACACACACACACGCGCGCGCGCGCACACACATACACACACACACACACACACACACACACACACACACACACACACACACACCGAAGTATTCCTTTCAACAAATATTCACAAGCAGAATATTGTCCAACGCCTCCGCATATGGGCTTTTTTGGTTTGATTTGTTGTTTAACGCCGCACTCAGCAATATTCCAGCTATATGACGGCGGTCTGTAAATAATCGAGTGTGTACCAGACAATCCACTGATTAATATCATGAGCATCGATCCAAGCAGTTTGGATCGATGACATGCATCAACCAAGTCAGCGAGTCTGACCACCCGATCCCTAAAGTCGCCTCTTACGACAAGCATGGTCGCCTTTTACGGCAAGCATGGCTTGCTGAAGACCTATTTTACCCCGAATCTTCGCGGGTCCCACATATAGGCCAACACCTGCATACATACAGAGTATTTGCTGCGAAACAGAATTAAGAATCAGTAGTTTTTATGTACATGCTGTATGCTTACATTTGATAATATGCTTTGAATTCATTGACGACACGGGACAAAACCGCCACCCCACCCCCTAAACACACACACATACATAAACACACACACACACACACACACACACACACACGGACACACATTGTGACTGAGAAACGCTCAAACGGCTCTGTTTTGTATCGAATATAATATTATATATACTTTACATAATTATAAGTTCGCAAACAGATTGTTTAATTACATATTGCTGCACTTACCTTGTCGTTTTGATCAACGTCCTCTCCAGAGTGAAAACATGCGGCAGGGCAGGAATGTCTTCATAATGCACATGACATACCAGAGTTTTAAAAGGAGCGTTCACCGTAGAGCGTGAATAATATAAACATAGAAAATACCCATTGTTATCTCGATTTTAAATGAATTCTAAACAGCTTGTTGAAATTAATTCAACTTGCACTGGTAGATAAATTAAGCGTCGTCTGCTTCGATCCAACTCGTGCAACGGAAGTGTTTACCGATTGGCTAAACTTGAAACTATGACACCACGTGACTCTTCTGGTGAACACCTGCGTGAAATATACAACACTTCTAACCTGATTTGACATTGTTTATATAAATAATCTTAACCGACAAAACGGTGGGGATTGTCCATGATGATTATGAATAAAATATATTAAAGAATTATGAACAATATGTATAAAGTACCAGAAGCAAAAATGATATTAACTGAAGGTCAAAAGAAAGAATACCGAGTTTGTTCTTGTGCAATGGAAAATTGAAACAATTGTAGATTATGTCTATTTAACCATCACTCATTCCTGCAACATTTCGTGAAATGTAGTCTGTGCCAGGCTAATTAGTGCAAAGAAATATTGGTTCAATGCAGACTGGGGTAGCAAATGAACTTGCAACTCCATGCCCCCTAACATGTTTGAAATGTTAAATTATGCCGAAAAGAGCAAATTTATTGTTTTTCAAGATAAGATATCTTAGATATCCATCAACAATTGTGTATTATGTGATTTTTATTTATTTTTTTAAAGTTCTGAATCAAATCATATTTTAAACAATAAAACCATGTTGGGGTATTTTGTGAGTGCTGACCAGGCGCCAGAATAATTTTTTGGGGTATGATATCGCTTACTTTTTTTAACTAGATATTTTTAATTGAAAATCGAAGATATGCTAACTGTCGGCGTATCCCGATTGCGCAGATCGATGTTCATGATGTCAATGATGCTCACTCAGCAATATTTCAGCTGTATGATGGCGGCCTGTTCATTATCGAGTCTGGACCAGACAATCCAGTGATAGATGCTGAGATCACGCCGTCGAATTACGCTGACACGCAATGAACCAAGTATTCGAGTCTGACCACCCGATCCATTTAGTCGACTGTACGACCACCATAGGCTACTGGGGACCTATTCTAAGTGATAGGAGAGCGGTAGGATGGAAGTGGAGGAAACAGCTTCAGGTGTATGGTGGTTATTGGGTAGCATTGCTACATGCAAACATGTTTGGGTGTTTTGGTGGAAAGATATGTATGTGTACATATGTACACTGTTGTCGTCATTTATGTTTGTTGCCGGAGTGAAAGTCTTCACAAGACGTTTTTCCAAAGAGTTCACACACACGCAACATGTGTGCATGGTGAATATGTTTACGTAGGGTGGATAGGTAACAGGGTTTGTTTGGTGACGGATTGTTGATACATATCACAAATTCAACATGGCTGTCATTACGACCATGTTTAAATCAGATTGGAATTCTCTTTGAGTTAGAGACGGGATACGTTTCTCTGAATGCTTCAAAACATACAATTTCCTATTTTGAAAAGGATAACTAAACACAAAACAAGACACATTTAATATAGGTCATCCACTGAATAATTTACTATTTGAGTTCAAACTATTGGAAAAAATATTTTCCTAGGTTTTGAGGGGGAGGGGGGGTGGGGGAGGGATTAGAATATTTGAAGGTCCTCGGATTCGTCGGAAAACCAAGGAAGGCAGGTAGACAAGCGCCTAATATTGGTCCTCTACAAAATCAGACAACAACGGGGGTCGCCCAGTCGTCTTAGGCGCCGCAATTCACTGTCCAGAGTTGCGTCCCTTGGGCACGCCGGAAACCTATGATTGTGGGTTCCAATTCCGGTTCGCCCCGACTATGTTTCTAGGTTTGTCAGCACCATACCCGTGCTCGTGGGTTTCCCCGAAGTGGTAAATGTCTGAGACCTGCATCACTTCGGGCTTTCCACCCACATTAAGCTGACACGCCGTGATGTAACTGGAATACTGTTAACAGCGGTGTTAAACCCAACTCACTCACTCACTCTTTTAAAAAAAGAGGTGACAACATGAAAATTAAATTATTCTCTTATTAATGTTTATAAAAATTGTTATTACACTTCTGGATGGGGATATATTATAATAATTCAAATTTTGTATTGTGTATATAAAATCTTAGGATGTTTGTGTTATGCTGTCTGTGAGAGTTCATAAAAGTAAGATTTTTGTCGTATTCATGTTTATACATTACAGAGAATATGTCTTCTGATATTACGGAGCAAAATACATAGGAGTACACATTCATTACAGTGTAAGATAGAGGGGATGGTTTTCTACAATGTATATGTGGGAGGTATATACGAGTACAGCAATTAAAATTATTTTGAATATTACTGATTTTTGCAATAAACAACGAACAGAAAATGAGATACTTCTAAGATATGATCTCATGTCGGAGTTAAAAGGTGTACAATTATGAATATATGAATATTCCTATGCCTTCATGAACGAATTTAGGCCGTAGTGCGTTTGGAACCGCCGTAACTTACTTTCACAATTTCATAAACCCCGCTGTGTTGTACGTCTTACAAAATACATTGTTCTAGAAACCGATTGAATTTACCATAATGTCGTTTAGTTAAAAATGGTTTAATTCCCCGCTCACCCACCCCCCTGCGTTGACTGTGTAAGAAATACTGAACTGCAGACAGCGTTCGGTAGACACAATGGCGGCCTACAAATCCTATCGCTTCGACCGTATATATAACGATCTGCACACGAGTGAAACGCTTTACTTTGGACAACTTCTTTAAAAACGTAGAACGTTCCGGTTTGGGGGCCCAAATACTGCAGTCTACCCAATAATTTCTCATACCAGAATATGCTTGCTGAACTATGACTTAGATCACGTATAATATTTGTTGTTTAACACTGCACTCCAATATTCCAACAATGTGCATGATGGCAGCAAGAAAATAATTAACTTTGGAGCAGACAAACCATTGATTGATATTGTGATCAATCATCAGCCATGAAGACAGGTATGATGACACAAAATCAATCAAGTCAACCAAATCTATTTGGTCACCTCTTAGGACAAGTTCACTTAAAGGGGAAGTGTACACCCAAAAATCACTTTTTTTCTTATTTTAAACAAAAAGCAATTTTAGAATCAGTTAATATAACTGTTTGAAAATATACAATGATTTTTCTCACAGTGAAGTAGAAAGTGTGAAAATGTTATGCCGTAATGAGGCCTTCGTTTTCCGAGCTGCACAGGCCTGAGTTATCCTCCTTAGATTATGACGTTATAAGCTCCTTCCCAGCGCGTGACATACCTTCGTTACGCTCCCGGTAAGTATAGAGAGCTCCGCGAACGGGCTATCGCTGTGAGGAGCTTGATGGCGTAACATTGGTGCCAAATTAACTGGGTCCCTGTCTAGTCTCAACGCGAAAAAATCAAGTACCAGTTTACGGTAAAACAACATGGCCTGCGAGTTCGACTCATCGTCTGAGAAAATGTAAAGCCATATGCTTTTGAACCTACACCGAACTTCAAGATGAAGTCGAGGTATGGTGATGGAGAGGAAACAAGTGAAGACCTTTTGTTCGTGTCAAGCTCCGACCCATCAACGCAACAACCGACGAGACCACCTTGGTAAGAATAAACTAACTAGGCCTAAATATCTCATTACAGCTCATGGTACTATATTTCCAGAAGCGAAACGTATTCTTAGAGATATTTGCCATGCCTGGTAACCCACGCTGTTCTTTAGCTATTTATCATGTCCCATCCTATTACGATTCTTTGGCAATGTCGTGCAATCTGAGCTTATCAAAGATTTTCCTCACTACCAATGGGCTATTTTCCAGGCAACATAGTAATTTTAACAAACAAATAGATATATCGCCAAACGTTGCTATTCTTTGCGTAACACAATTTAGGTGTATGTCCCGCAGGCTGCCGAGTTAGACAAACATCTAGTCTCTGAAATGAACATATTGTACAGAAAAAAACAGTTGTTAAATTATTGTTAAAAATATAATAAAAAGGAGCCCATGCAGAGACTTTCTTCTGCAGTATTCTAGACTTGCCAAACATGATAGACTTGCATGGGCTGTATTGGATATATTTGTTTCAGGGTCTGTCTGTTGAGTCAACACTTTGATTTGTTTACCTATTGGCAACATACTGACAGGAACCACATATTAACCTCTCCAGATTTAGTAGATATATTTTAGATCCAAATTCATATTTAAAACAACTGTCATATTCCTGTTCCACAGGCTGACCACTGTGCCACCCGTTGTACGCGACCAGCTCCTCTTGAAATGTAGGCCCAGATAAGTCCAAATATTGTGTTTTGTGTTTGACATCAGTTATATTGAACAGATCATTGTTAATAATATTGGTTTGCTCTGACCCCGGCATCATAACAAAGCCATTGCAACATTGCTGGGAAACTGTTACATAACCCAGCATAACTGGTCACTGGAAAATTTCCTCAGGCAGATATGTAATACACTGTTCCCTAGCTAGTGCGCTCTTCAATAGAGCTCTTACTCAGTTACAGCGCGTGTTATGCATGGCTCCCAAAATTTACTAACAATTTTAATTAACTGATGTTTATCTCTTAAATAGACGTAACAGTAACCTTGAGTTTCTGCCAACAACTAAAATTTACAAGGTGTTTTAGAATGTGATTTATCATTCATTCACCAAGGACACTTTAATTCAGATACCCTGTGTTCAGTGTTTTGTAAATATCAACTGGATATGCTTTAGTAAAACTGTCCAATTGTTTTTACTTGATAATAATTTATAAGCTTTGGCCTGGCGATGAACTACAAAGTGTAAATCATGTTTGATATTATGATGAGTTATGCAAGTCAAATGATATGATATATTACAAAGAATCCTGATGCAACAATGTTACAGGTGTACTTGTGGTTGCTGTGTTGACATGCAGTCTGTGGTAGTGGAGCTGTGTTGTCTGGATGCTGCTCCTGTCAGGAATAAGCTTGATGATACATCAACCTGTGACGACTACAGCTGCATCACTGCTCACCCTGGCCTCCATGAAGCATCACTCAGCAAGTACAGTATGGAGGCGTACCATGAGTTCATTGACACCATTGGCCGTCAAGTATGATACCTTCTAATAATTTTTTAAATAAGTGTTTTCTTTATTAAAAGAAGATTACATATTTGTAGACTAATTTGAATACACAAAAATTGAAATGAGAAATTTAATTTCCATAATCTCATATTTCCAGGAATGAGAATTTTCCTCAGATTTCGTTACGTCAAGGGACAAAGGGTTTTGTTACTAAACCATCATTTAAGTTTTTTGAATGTGTGTAGCTTCTGGAAACATAAACCTGAAACAAATTTTAGAAAAAAAATACCTGATTTATTTTCATCAATGACTGGAATCTTTATTGTTCCTTGTAGACTACAAGTCAGCGTTTTAAAAAAAATATCAACTTGTTTTTATATTTGTATATTGTATTTGAAGATATGCCATGTAAAACAAACAAATCTGACGAGTGAAATAATCCTCCAATCCATCAAATGTTTGACTCTCGGACAAGTTGTGTAATCATATTCAAAGCAATAGTATTAAACATACCATGCCAACATGATCAAATGCATTAGTCATTACTGAATTATTGACAAGGCACCATCACAAATCTTTCAAGGAAATTGTTATACCTATGTCATTTATCATTATTGGAATTTATTGGAACAGTTGACTCAGCTTTTTTTTGACATTTGTGAATTTATTATGCATCTGTGAATTGACCAGTAAGATGCTGTGTTAGTCAAGTAAGGCCCCTCTCTTCCACCCCTTCCCAGATAAAAGATTCTACATTTATTGATAGAATCATGTAAAAGGTCTAACACCCTTGATAATCTAGGGGGCTGTCGGGTAGCCTAGTGGTTAAAGCGTTCACTCGTCACGCCGAAGACCCGGGTTCGATTCCTGACATGGGTACAATGTGTGAAGCCCATTTCTGGTGTCCCCCGCCGTGAGATATTGCTGGAATATTGCTAAAAGCGGCGTAAAACCATACTCACTCACTCACTCACTTGATAATCTAGGATGTATTATGAAGTTCATGTTGTCACTTCAGTCAAAATATGTAGGAAAGCAATAATACTTTATTCACATGCTACTCAAATAATTAATAATTAATACTATGCAGTATTATCCAACCAAAATAATTTTACACAATTAAGCGTAATACCGATTACTCAGGTACTAAATTATTCAAATGTCACCAATAGTCAATATCATTTTTAACAAGAGGACAAAGTCACCAATATCCCTGGCAATGGTAAATATTTGTCATGAATGAACATACTGTGCAAATATTACTGGATAGTGGGAATCATCAACACATATAATCTGATCAGGGGCGGTTGGGTAGCCTAATGGTTAAAGCGTTCGCTCGTCACGCCAAAGACCAGGGTTCGATTCCCGACATGGGTACAATGTGTGAAGCCCATTTCTGGTGTCCCCCGCCGTGATATTGCTGGAATATTGCTAAAAGCGGCGTAAAACCATACTCACTCACTATAATCTGATCTATATTGTATTGGTAAATGGAAATGATATGATCATATCTGTTGGGGAGTAGGCGATCACATCTAATGGGTTGTAATAGTTGTGTGATGAGACGGTGGCAGCCTAGGTCATGAAAGAGCTCGGTGGTCAAATTCGAAATCTGCATTTTGCAGCCAAGTCACTACTATCAAGTAAAACCACCTATGTTGGCCAGGCATGCACAAATTATTCCAGGCATGTTTCTGATGAGTCGACCAATGTTAGCTTGACACATGTAGTTCGACTCATCAGTGAGACAGGCCTCAAAGTTGCGACTAAACCGGTAGCCAATGTGACCTAAATTTCAGTTTGTCTACTGTCTAAAATTCAGAGGTAGCCAAATGACTGCCTTGAAAAATATCTTGTGGTGACTAAATCATGTACATTCTGTTGCTTCACATCTGTAGACACAAAAATAAATAACGGCTGATATTGGAAAACACGTCTGCTAATAATTGTACTCGCAAATAATTCCTTCTAATATCTACAATAAACCAACAAAATACATCAAAATTAATGTAATTAGTACTTTATTTTAGTTTTCTCATTGGATAAGCGAAGATATACCTATATAATCTAGTAACATAAATTGCATCATTGTCACAAGTAACAAAATTAAAGTAGAGTTTCCATTAAGATACAATTTCAAGACTAGAACGGTAACTTGTACATATTATAATAGTTATTTGATAAAGATAATTTCAAATTATTTTGGATACCTACAATATTGGCTTCATTTCTTGATTTTACCACTGCCTACCTTGAAAAAAATATGGCTACTTGGTAAAAATTTAACTTTGAGGCCTGTGAGAGCAACACCGAATTCATTGAGAGGGGTGGGTGAATTTTGATGTTGACCTACACGTGGGTCAATGGCATCCCGTATATGTTCAATGGGGGAAAGGTCAGGACTGAGTGCTGGCCATGACATGGATGTTTTGCTGTTGGAGGAATTGGGTCACAATCCTGGCAGGATGAGGACGTGTATTATCATCTTGAAAGATGAAACATTGCCCAACACGTTGTGCAAGTGGTGCAATGATGTTGTCCCAATAGTGCTGACCTGTGAGCGCAGTTTGGCCAGTCATTGTGCCACCCCATACCATTATAGACCAACCCCAAAACGATCATGCTGTATGACATGAACATCCATTAAATGATCAATACGATGTCTCCAAACTCGATTCCTGGGGTCACTGACTGTATTCGACGTAATAAGCGCCCCGCTCTAATAAGCGCCCATGGCGATATTTGCTATTATATTGGCTAGTGAACAATCCCGATTAGCATCCCTTCCAATTGATCAATGTACACAAGACTTATTTATTCAAGTATATTACACACTCGTGTGTTATATGCACCCTTAATTATGGGGAATTTAATTCTGGAAAAATATATCTGTCGTACATAAACATTTTAGGCTGTCGGCATAAACCACGAAATTTAACTTTCAGCTCTGTTTTTTTCATCAAAATAATATTCTAATAAGGGCCACCTATTCCTAAATTTGAGAGCGCCCTGGGCGCTTATTACGTCGAATACGGAACTTTCATTGCCAGACATTGGTGTATGTTCCCGTAGTTTCACCTCAAGATAAAATATGTGCATTCCATATTTTTTGCTCATTTTTTTATATATATATATATATATGGTAGTGTAACCATGGAGTTTCACTGTTATTGTCATTAAACAAAATATGAAGTGACTATACAAAGGTCCGGCTAGATCTAGTACTGTTTGCACCCGTGTCCTACTCATGACCCACCCATCTAAGTGCCCGAGTTGCCTAGCCCAGCCCTAGTTATCATGTTGTGAGTTAGAAATGTGAATATTTATTTTTTAATTCAACATATCTAAAGCAGTCACATATTTCATGATGTTTTCATAGACCATGCAGACAGACAGATTTTTGCAGACACACCTAGACATGTTATTGGTAGGCCAATAGGCCAACTTGGACCCTTATCTCCATGCAGGCATATATTATAGGCCTATAAAACTGTAATTTTGTTCAAATTGGGATTTTCTTACATTCCTTTCTTTCTTAAATTCAGGGGTAGTTTGACATTTTATTCAAAGCAAATATGCAAACACTAAGCATTAAAGGGGCACTAATCTCTGGCTTCTTCCAGGCTGTCTAACACTGCCTGCTAGTCGTTATCAATACACATTTCTCTACACTGATTCGTTACCTGTGATCTATGAAGATTCGGATATTACAAGGGCGCATGTTAATTTCTTCAACCTTAACAAACCGACAAAAAGAATGGTGGAGGCTCATCAGATGTCGTTATGTGGAAATACCCTTAATGGTTTTAGTTTAACAAAAAAAAAAGTATCCCTGCAGTGAAAGCATTTTTGGATTTTGGATTGCGTGGATAATACAGTTGCTTCTCCTGTGTCATCCATGTTTTCTGGTATAACGCTACACCTGTGTATTTGTCGTCGTTCACTTGATGCAAAGTTAATGAATTTATTACAGGTATAATTAGTGGTAGCTCCACTCAGATTACCTGACAGGTTCCCATTTGGCATTTATTGTGTCTGGGGTAATGACCGTATTCGACGTAATAAGCGCCCTGCTCTAATAAGCGCCCACGGCGATATTTGCTGATATATTGGCCAGTAAACAATCCTAATTAGCACCCCTTCCAATTGATCAATGTACACAAGACTTATTTATTTATATGCACACTCATGTGTTATATGCACACATAATTATGGGGAATTAAATTCTGGAAAAATATATCTGTCATACATAAATATTTCAGGTTGTCACCATAAACCACAAAATTTATTTTTCAACTGTTTTTTTTCCACCAAAATAATATTCTAATAAGAGCCCCCTATTTCTAATTTTGAGAGCGCCCTGGGCACTTATTACGTCGAATACGGTATTCAATCTAAATCCAGGTTTGAAGTGAGGTGAAATGTATGTTATGTAATATGCACGCCCGGTACAGTGGCGCAAGAGACAAATGATGAGCTGTTATCTTGCAAAGCGGATTTGTCAACAGTAAGTGTTTACAAGTGTAGGTTTACTAAATCCGACGGAATACACCCATATCTGGGCATGAAGTGCCTATGTAAAAACAACATACTTTGCTGAAAGGATTAGCCGATTAAATTTTAGACATGTTAGATGGTTACAAAGACAGGTTACATGGAGCAAATTTGTCTGTGCAGCTGCAGATGTATGGGATTCCTCGGATAAGATAAAACAAATTTTTCCTTACAACATTGGTCGGTTGTACTTATGATGTTTTGCATTTTGTTTTCATTCATTTGCTATAGCATTGAACAGAATCATTCTTTTCATTGGGAAGTTCTTTGATGCGAGATAGACAACACTAAGCTATTAGTGGGCATGTATATATTACAGTCAATTTGTAAAATGTGATTCACTCAGGTAATGTCTAAATATTTCAGTCATTTTACAAATTGACTGAAAAGTCTGTCCATTTATTTCATGTATTGACTAAAAATTATTAGGGCTTAAAGCTTGCACCAAATGAATGTTTAAAAAAATCTAATTTGTGTCTAACTATCCCTAACTATTCCGCTTGACAACAGTCTTTGAACACATTCAATTCCTCAATGTTTTATGTACCATACCACATCACTAATCCCTGTGTTATTTCT